CACACTTCCCATTCATAATTATGTACTTGCCACGTAATGTGCAAATAAATCTTACATAAGACAAAACTTTGTGCATTGAAAATGCTACCTCGAATATTTCCCAAGAGGATATAGGAAAATGCTGCAGGTGTTGAAGCTATGGTGTCATTTACTCCTGACATACACAACCAAGACAAGTGGAAACTACTTTGAATTCCCAAGGCAGTTAAAATAGTTCAGAAAAGCAAGGCAACCCTTTAGGGATTAGGCAAAGGTTATCTGTATTGACATGTGCAGTAAAACTTGATCTCTTGATTAATGTGAATCATCTCAAGACAAACATTGCATAGGATTTTGAGCATACTGCTTTTCTCTTAAGCTGTAGTTATAGTCTAACCATGCCATTGATTTCTGTTAACATTTACCCTCCCTGTTCTCTATAAAAAGAAACAAAAGTCAAACTTTGCTTTTGGCTCTTTGTGTGTGTGCATTTTTGAAAGGGTAACAAATGAGGCTAAAAAAAAAACTTCTAAGAAAATGAGACCTATTCCTCCTTAAAATCAATAGCTCTAAATTAGTAACAACTAATATACATGTTAATATTTTAGGGTTCATCTATATGAGTGATATATGATTTAGCTCTGTTAAAACCATAGGTTTGGGGCCCAGAGTGCCAAGCTTCCAAAGAACCAGATAGGACACAGAAGGGTTGAATGTAAAATCAGAGGCTTTGTTCTCAATGGTCAAAGAGGATGTCAATGGAGACATCACTGTACAGAACTGACATACCTGCAACTTTGAACCCATGGATTTATTAACAGCATATTTGACAGCATGACAGAATAGTACAGAACAATTGAAAATTGCCACACGGGTTCCTCATTAATCCTGGAGGGTGTTGGCTACGATCTATAGCCTCATTGACAGAGGAGCAAGTCCACTTTTATTTCTGAACCAATCGGAGGCAAAGCAGAAAATGTAATAAAATGTCATTCGTGGATTTGAAGACTTATGTTTGATAGTGAGTTCTTTCCAGAAATTAGGTGTGTCTGAGTGGAATGCAGTTTGATGGGCATTTGATGGGTCCTGATGGCCCAATGCCAACTAAACATGCTGGTGTCATGGATAAATATGAAGTATGGTTTGAATTTAATTGTGAGAAAGGTGTATGATTGGGGCTAAAGATGCCATCCTAAGAGGCTAAAGATGTCATCCTAAGATTGAAGCCTGGAAAACTACTATGCAGCATGAACTGTAATTAAAAGTTTCTGTCCAGGAATTTATGGGAGTCAGCACGTTTTGACTGGAAAAATAACTTGTCATTCATTTACAAAGACAATAAGAACATAAGAAACATTTTACTAGTTCAAAATTTATGGCAGACCGGAGGAGTCTGGTCCACCTGCCAATCTTCTCCAAAGGGGTAGAGGAAGATGGTGCATTCATAGAATGGTAAATTTGCAAGAAATACAATTTATTTATTTTATTTATTTATAGCTTTTATATTCCGCCCTTCTCACCCTGCAGGGGACTCAGGGCGGATCACAGTGTACACATATATGGCAAACATTCAATGCCAATTTTAACATACAACATATACAGACATACACAGAGGCTATTGTAACTTTTTCTGGCCACCAGGGAAGCTGTTGCTTTAATCATCTATCTGCGACGCTGATCAAGCACTTCCGCGTTCCCGCATGCTTCCCCGCTGGAATGTTTTTGCTGGAGTCTTCTTTATGGCCTCATAAATCAGTTAATTTAGCCTCCCCACACTTTAAGGTGGTACCTTATTTTCCTACTTGACAGATGCAACTATCTTTCGGGTTGCAAAGATCGACAACAGGCTACACAATTGGTTGGAAACCCAATCCAACTCGGGCTGGCTTCGAACTCACTTTTGGTCAGAGTGATCTTAATGCAGCTGACACTCAGCCAGCTGCGCCTACTTTGAGAAATCTTTTCCAGGAGAAGGAAGAAGAGATGGTAATGTATGCTTGATGAGGAGTGAATGTGTGTGTGTGATTTTAAAATACATTTTGTATATTTTTATATGGTTCTTTGTATTTTGTAGTCTTTGGAAAACCAGTTGTTTATGAGCATCAGTGTAAAAAACTATTTTCTTTAGAAAGATTCCTTTAATGTACATCAGCATGAGTATCAGCTCACAGAAATAGGGTTGAAAACAAGTGTGTGGGTAGTGTCCTTTCAAGTTAAAAAAGAAGACAGCAACTCAGGGGAACGAGTTCAAAAAACACTGAAAGATTGGACATTAGGGGGCATTTCATTTTCCTCGTTTTGCACACTTCAACATATACAATTCAATAATGCAAATGGAACATCGTGTTTGATGTGTCAGTACCAGACCCCAGGTCACAGGAAGAAAATTAGATCAGATTGTGTCAGGACAGTACTAAAAATCCAATATATAAAACACTTATCTTATTTATTTGAAATATTTTTGGGTATTATGATTTATAAAAAGACTCGAGGGAAGGAAGGAAAAAACTGTAAACATGCTGTATCCATGTTGCTTTATTTAACTTTTGACTAGCTATGCCAAGTTTTCTTCAACACAAGCTAGCATTCAGTCTTACCTCTAATACAGTAACTTATTGACCTCTTTGGATTGTTTTTGTTCTTCTTGTTTCTCCAGCAGAAACTTATTCTATGCATTTATTTATTTATTTGAAGTAGGTGTTGATTTTATGACAGAATTAGAATTAATTTTTCTGTAACATATTTGCATAAGAAAAGCCCTTGTAGAATTGACATGAAGCTTCCCTTGAGTTTTTTATGTTCTCTCCTCATTAGGAGCTACTCTAAAATGCATGACTAAGAATTAGAATGCATGCATGTTTTCAATGTTATTTTCTTTAAAAAAATATTCACTTCATCTTAGAGTGGCTTAGGGCAAAAAATGTATGAGAAAAGACTACTTAATGCAGTGTACAATTTTTGTGCTCCCTTTCACCTTTTTACAACATTCTGAGTTTCTTTATGTGGGGCTGGGTGAACGAAAATCCCAGGAGCTTCCAGAAAAAACAATTTTCTCTCTTTGGGGACCAGTAAATAGTGCATTGCGTGGCGTTTGAAGAAATTGTTGACATGGGCCTCAAATCTCTATTTTGTTCATCCTTGAATTGGGGTACATTTACATTATAGATTTAATGCAACTTCACACCACTTTAACTAGCATGGCTATGGAAACATGGGAATTGTAGTTTTACAAGATCTTTAACCTTCTCTACCAATGAATATCAATGTCTACCCAAGCTACAGTTTCCAGGATTCCATAATATTGAGCCATGGCAGTTAAAGTGGACTCAAATTGCATTATTACTACAATCTAGGTACATCATAAGGCATGTTGCCAGTTCATGTACCTACCAGTTTTACCATGGTTACCCACATTGAAAATCATTTATGTAGACTTCATAATCTCTCTGAATGTCTTTCGTGTAATTACAGTAGTCAATCCGGTGATTAAAAACAAGTGATCAAAAATATGATGCCATAATTTGGATGGCATGGGCAACTATGATAATATAATATCAAAGTGAATGTAGATTTTAATAAAAATTGTGTGAGATATCTCCAGGTTGACCTCTATATGAAAATCTCAGGGACTCAACTCGAACCTTTTACATTGAAGAAGACCATGCTTTTCTGGGCTACACTCTACACATTTGCTGTCACTGCTAACAGACTGCACTACTAAAATTAGTGGTACCATCATAAGAAAACTATTGTATTCTTCTTTACCTTTTTTTCCAGATAGAAAGGATGTTCTCTGTTCTGAGAGTAAAGGGGGGCTTTGGAACTGGTTAAAAAAGAACCACTGAAGATGGATATTGAATTTCAATGGCAGCATCAGTGGCAGAAAAATCAGTGACACCTTGTGAATTAGAGCAGCAGTAGAAATGCAGTCCCAGGTGCATTTGGGGTTGTTTCATTGCATCTTACATCCCTGGAAGTTGCCAACCTTCAATATATGTAGCGCCTCTGAATTCTATGAATTCCTCCTCCTTTAGAAACGTTTCACGAGAAACAATAACAGTAAATGTCTTTAGCAATTAATACTTTAAATGACTGATGAATATTCAGCTGATCCATTGACTCTTGGTTCGTCAATCAGCCACCTTGAATCTCATATAAATTAAACAAATAAAAATACTGCATGGAGATGATGATGATGATGATGATGATGAGAAAAGTTTATTTTTGTGGGTGTTTATCATTGAAATGAGTTCTACATTTATTTAATTTGCTACCAATTTGATAACCCTGTTTGGATGAAGCATATCTCATCTGGAATATAACTTGCATGTCAAATAGCTTTTTCTTCCTGCTGACAAATGTGTCAGGCAGAATTTACTTTCCTCCCACCCACCCAACAATATTTCTTTGCCATCTGGAAGATGTGTCCATCACAGTTTCTGTTAGACTGGAACCTAAGCGTGCCACTCCATACTTAAAGGAGAACCTATGAAGTCTCTCAGTTCTCAAATCTCTTCATGTGGCTAGCATCCTGTATTAAAAGAGATTCCCTCTGTCTGTTTTACTTAATCAGCCATAACCTGTTCAGAACACCGATGCACCTTGGAAAAGGCAGCCTTGCTGGAACGCGTTGCCTTTTGAAATCGTTAGATGGCTTTCCACTGTGCGTCACCCACCTTGCAAATCACAACCTCAGCTGCAGCAGCACATCTATTAATCTGGTAGAGATGACGCTCCCAAGTGGCACTGGTGCCTTATACAACTCCCTGGTGACCCACCGATCCTCCTGGTGCACTCCGTACATGTAGGAGTGTGCCGTGTGTTAATCAGGTCAATGATCATCCACAGCTCAGGGTCATGATAGAAATCTATCACAGCAGCCACCGGATCCTGGAGGCTTGAGCACATTTTGTCAGATCTCCTCCTCCCCCCTGTCAGCAACAGAGCTTTTGTACTCTTTCACTTACTCAGGTCCCTCCGGAGGATTCCAGCTTATCTTTCCTTCTCTCTCCTTTTTCTAGACAGTGAGGAGTTCAACGTCAACAGCAAAGGACAGCCCAGGATGTCTCTCTACCTGGAGGGTGCTGATTGAAAACTTCAATTGTTTTCCAAATAAACAGTTGATTGCAAGCGCTTGCTGCTTTCTCTTAGCTTTGTGAAAAGAGAGGATTTTCAATTAAGGTAAGTGCTGCGTTATCTGGTTGACTGCATCACTCTGAATTTTCTGCATTGAAAGTTCTAAATGAGTAAACTGACATTCTGCACTGCAGCAGCTCAGTCAGTCTGTGGTGTCAGGAAAAGAAAAGAGAGGGGGAGGACTGGAGGTGCTTACTTTAGGGGGAGGTATCCAAGAATAGAACAGTTGTCTCAGGAGAATATTTGTTTGTTATCACCTGCAAAAGTGCAAACTCTTTGCGGAAGTATTGGATGGTGCTTTAAATCTCACTAAGATGCTTAGATTGTCTATGTAGATCTGTATGTGTAGGCACAGGCATGTGTATGTGATGAGTAAAAGCCACATTATTATTAATATTGTTTTCATCGGAGAGCATCCCTAGCCAAATAGAATCTCATAATCAAAGCCTTTCACAATTCACCTCGGGGGCAGTCAAGGGTGATTCAAATGCATGTGGGGAATATTCGTTCAGCCTTCCAGAATGGAAATGAGACTGAAGAAAAGCTGACTTTTATCCAAGCTATGTATATTTGACATTATGGGGGAAGAGGAGGGGTGAGAGGAAATATTAAACATGCAGCATTTTTTTTTTGACACAATCTCTTCTTGCAAGATTAGCAGCTGAATTGCATGCAGTAGAGGTTGCAGGCAGGGGTGGGGGGTAGAAATAGCTTCTGATGCGGTTGGGGAAATGAAATCTACAGTTGTCAGCAGTAATAAAGTGTGACGTGAATAGTCATTTTGATTAAAAGGTCAGGAACAGATAGAACAAAGGAAGCCTGGTGGTGTGTTAAGAGAGAGAACTAAACTGACAGTCGAAATGTTTTATTTGGAAGAGGGGCATGGCAGGTGAAAGTGGCACGTCTTGAAAAATTAGTGATCTTTTGAGTAAAAGTCTTCAGATGTTTACATCTGAAACTACTCTTAGATAATTGTGTTAAGAATGGAAAAGTCCAAGATGGGCTAACTTGAGTATTCTTAATCTCAGTTTCTAAAAAAAGTTGAGAGAATTGGGGGTTGGAAAAGTAGTGCGCCATTTAGAACTTTGTTAAACTGCATGTGACACAGCCATCCCACATTCACCTTTCTTGACATGTCAGTGACAAAGTCCTGTCATATAACAGATAAAACTATCCTGTAAGCTCGATGGAACCAACTTATGGAACATTACATAATACTATGTCACTCTACATGCATTTGCAAGGTTGATTAAAAAATAGCTCAGAAAGATGTACTGGGACTGGTCCATGAGTTATGAGTTGCTGGTCTGCAGCATGTTTCAAGAAAAGAAAAAGCAAAATGTTCGAGGAACAAATGTTATACTGGTCCCTGACACATAAGGGGAAAAAAAGGTCCCTCAGATCAGAGCACTGCTCTAAGAAACACCAACATATTAACTTTCTTATAGCATGGGGAGATCTGTTGGTGAAGGGTGTTAAAGCAAAGGAAAAAAATAGTTTGGCTTATGAGGACCTTGTGAATTTGTGGCAGAAGTGAGATTTAAGTAAAGGACTTTCTGAGTCATAGATGTCATGATGCTACATGAAGTATCAACATCTTCTTTTAGTTTGTTTGAAGATTCCCTTTAAAGGAAATCCTTTAAAGGAAATAATCTAAAATGTAGCTAATACTTCTGTACCACATTGTACAGAATGTGTTCAGTGAATACTATTCTGTCACATAATGATAGGTGCAAAATTAACCCAGTGTCCATACAGAATGTCGTAATTATGCTGTATTATACAGTGTTTATGCTCCTTTATAATCTACAAGTATGCAAAGTTATCTTGTCCCAGGTCATGATTTTTGTTCACTCAACCTAGTAGTATCTCCTCCGATTTGAAGCATCTCACATTGTCTTTTCTATCAGTTGCTACCTGAGCTTTTAAATCACAAATTTCTGGTTGTTTAAACTTTAGCCTGAACTCAGAACCCTTTACATGCAAATCATATGTTATACACCAAAACTGTGGTGCCACCTAAAAAAAAAATTATATGTTGTTTGACTTTAGAGATATGTAGGGAATTGGCACTGCCGAGATTTTGGTATGTGTGCTTGACCACATTTTTATCTTTATGATTAATCAGATCCCTAGATGTAATTGGTAGTCAGAGGTCCATACAATTTGGTGGTTATGATGTAATCAGTGAAATAATGTGCTCATAAACAATGTGTCATGTACAACTAATGTGCAAAAAACACCACATTTTTTAAAAAATGTGTAGAAACATGCTGTCATCAATAAGGCATTTGTCTCTTCGTGAATACAATTGAATAATGTGCACAAATGTAAACATATTTATTTTATAAAAGCCTGCATGGAAGAAGTGAATAAACTTGCAAATAAGTAAAGGAGAAAGTATGCAAACACAGACAGATCAGCCCATCTCTGTTGACCCTCAAATTAAAATCAGTTCTCATGTCCTACACATATATGGTTTGGCTTAAATATTCCCCATAATATTTCATTTGGATTTATTTTCCACTCTACCATAGTCACTCTACATGTCTTTCTTTCTTTCTTTCTTTCTTTCTTTCTTTCTTTCTTTCTTTCTTTCTTTCTTTCTTTCTTTCTGAGGTAACTAAGTCAACTCATCCTATATCTTCACTTTTATTTGTATTTGTTTAAGTTGTACTAATTATCCCCCTGTTCTCTTTGACTCAAATATAGAAAATGTTTTATAAATAATATATTTAATTTTTTTAAACAGTGTGTAAGTGCACTCTTCACAGCAATCATGTTGTGTATTTGTAATATGTTTTTGGTGTGTTTGATGTTTGTCAGGCAATATGGAACCTGAGTTCAAACTGTCGTAAGAAGACTAATGGTGCAAAATGCTAGGAGCCAAGATCAGTGTGTTATACCTCCCAGGAATCATAGATAATGTTATCCCTTTCAGTTCAGCTGCTCACTACATTATTTTCTCCATCCATTTCAGACAACATGCTGCCATTCACTTGTCTCATGCTTCCCATTATGCCTTCATCCCAGGATCCATATTTCCTGACTACCAAAAAGAGGGATTATTGGTGGGTAAATATGTGACTATGGTTTGATATATATGAGGTGCCATAAATAGAAAGTCAGTGTGCCGTAGTGGTTCCAGTTTCAGGCTAATATCATATCTACTCTAACCATTTAGGCTGGTGTGGAAAGTCTGTAGTGGACAAAATTCTGCATAGGGCAGCATTAACTCAAAGTTGCTTAACTCAGACTTATCCTAGGTTAAGCTAATTTAGGGGAAAATCCAACCCCCAAAGTTTTTGCCTCCCTCCTCCCAGTCTCATTTGCAGACCATACAACCCAATAATAGAAAGGAAGACCCATGAGAATAGGGTCCCTTCCACACAGCTGAAAAAAATGACATTTTCTGCTTTGAATTGGAATATATGGCAGTGTGGACTCAGATAACCAGTTTAGAGCAGATATTGTGGGATTTTCTGCCTTGATATTCTGGGTTATATGGCTGTATGGAAGGGCCCTAAACAAGGTAACCATCTCACTGCTATAGGCAGTAGTGATACAGAGTGGTAGAGTGGCAGCTGAATTCTTGTCCAGAGGTGTCAAATTGTCTTCAGCACATCTGGGTAGTGGGAAATTTATACCACCACCATGGCAGCTTAGGGAGCCTGTTTCAGGCTGTCATGTGAGTTTGAACTGCTGTCTGGAATGCCAGCTTGAGCCCACCTATAGTGTCAGCGTAGAACTGCTCTAAGACCTCAGATAACTAGGATTCAATTTCCTTCTCAGTCTTGGAAGCCTACTGATTATTCTTTGATAAATCATAATCTCTCAATCTCAGAGAAAGGTAACAGTAAATCTTTTTTGACTGAAGAGTACTGGGGCAGGAGGTGATAAGGTCATCTTAAAGGTAAAGGCTTCCCTTTGACATTAAATCTGGTTGTGTCCAACTCGGGGGGGGGGGGGTAATGCTTATCTCCATTTCTAAGGTGAAGAGCTGGCATTGTTCATAGATACCTCCAAGTTCATGTGACTGGCATGACTGCATGGAGCACCATTACTTTCCCACCAAAGCAGTACCTATTGATCTACTCACATTTGCATGTTTTCAAGCTGCAAGATTGGCAGAAGCTGCGCCTAACAGCAGGAACTCACCCCGCTCCCCAGATTCAAACCACCAGCCTTTTGTTCAGCAAGTTCCTCAGCTCAGCAGTTTAACCCGCTGTGCCACCAGATGCTCCTAAGGTCACCTTAGGGTCACCATAATATGGACATAACTTGAAGATCTACAACAACTGTTCAAAATATTTAATATTAGCAGTGCAAAAGGCCTAGATTTAAAGAAAACCAAGCAAATCAGAGTTTAAAATATTACAAATAGGGTCCTTAATTTTTGTTTTGAAAATCATTTTTAAATGCCAGTCCTGCAAATTGCAGGAGTGGGGCTGCAATCAAAGTCATCTCATGCTAATCTGAACATTAATTTTCATATACCATAACAGTTTTGAGAAATTAAAGCCTTTCCCTAAGCTTCCAAAGTTTTTTTACTTTTGTAAGGCAGGAGTAGGAGTGCTTCTGCTGAGCACAGGTAGATATGGGAGAAGGCCAAGGGTTGCCTTAGGCATACATGCCAGGGACTGTTGAGAACTACAAAGTAATTATTAACACCTTTACCTATGCCTGAGTTTATGCGAGAAATAGCACAAGGAAATTTATCAACATAACACAACCACAGGGTATTAGGTTTTTCGAAATAAGGTTCAGAAGTGCAAAACTTGAGGAGTGACTTTTTTAGATAATTTCTGAATAGACTTATCCAGCTGATGGTATCAGAGCATTGCAGGTATGTGTATGTAACAATGCTTGCAGAGCAGTGTCAATGTGCATTGCTTATTATACATTGCTGCTTCTATGACCTTTCATTATTTTTTGTATGTTGTATTATAATGAAAGTCAATAGAGAGTTTGTGTACTACTTTGCTATTGTGTGCCTTCAAGTTGTTTATGACATATGGGGACACTAAAGTGAACCTATCTAGTGC